CCTCCCAAGTAGCTGGGACCACAACGCCCGGCTATTTTTTGGTTGCAGCCGTCATTGTTGTTTGTGGGCCGGGGCTGGATTTGAACCCGCCACCTTGGGTATACGTGGCTGGTGCCTTAGCATCTTGAGCCACAGGCGCTGAGCCAGGAATTGGGAATTTTAAAGGTGGTTAAATCTTAGTTTATGTGACCAGTCTGAAGAAACGGAAAATATGAAGTACAGAAAACACGAGAAACTGCCACATCTTATCTATGTGGCAATAGCGTCAAATTAATGGTAGCTTGACTTAACTGATTCTCAGTATTCTAAGAAAAGGAATCACCCCAGATGTGATGGTTTAAAGCTACATTATGACCCTCTTAGAATAGATTGATTTACTGTAGAGTACAATCCTGAAGGCTACATATTTTAATTTCACATAAGACCTCAAACAATCAACTTTGGCTTTCTTCCATTCCTGATTCCCTGGCCTTCCTCTCTCTTGATAAGGAGCCCTTTGTTTATATAGCCTCATTTAAGGCACTCTTAGTTTTTCAGGGAGGTAAAACATAAATGAAATATGAGTTGACATTGTTAAATTAAAACCCGATTATCTCTTTTCTTTTCCCTGACCTGAACTCTGACAGTTTTCACCAAGATGGCAGCTTGCACATATGTAGATATTTTATGATTTCTTTCTTACTTACAAACTTGAACAATAGTAGGAGGATATATTCAGTGTTGTGATGCAGTAGCCATTTTTCTGAAGTTTGCAGTTTGAGCCTACAGTTGTTTTTTTCCTTAAGTTGTTGGTCTAAATGAGTTTGATGGGTGTTGAGCCTGATGGAGAGAAGCCTCCAGAGATTCCTTGGCAGGATCATCATGGGTGGGGTCTAGTCTTCCCTTAGAGGTCTGAGAGCTTGGTTTGTCGGTTTCTGGATGAAACTAGATCCCTTGGCACAAATTCACACTATTTAAACTCACACGGGTAAATTGTAAGACCAGAACACCAAGTTGCTCGTTTACAGTGGGAGCTCCACTTTCAGCATGTATTTATCTCCACTGTTCATGATACCCCCTTTCCGGGAATATGATGCAGAAAGTTAAACTGAAGATTAGAAGGCTGATTGGTGATTAAGGAAAAAGAGGAAATGAAATTAGGTAGTCGTACTGAGGGTTATCATCCGGGCCATGAAGAAGCCCTGTACAGTTTCCTGTCCTTAAAGAGTTAGCTCCCCAGTGAACAGAGTACTTTTGTCTACCAGATTCTTTTTTTTTTTTTTTTTTTAGAGACAGAGCCTCAAGCTATTCCCCTGGGTAGAATGTTCTGGCATCACAGCTCATTCTGGGCTCAAGCGAGTCTCCTGCCTCAGCCTCCCAAGTAGCTGGGACTATAGGTGCCTGCCACAACGTCCGGCCATTTTTTGGTTGCAGCCATCATTGTTGTTTGGCTGGCCCAGGCTGGATTCGAACCCGCTACCCTAGGTTTACATGGCTGGCGCCTTAGCCACTTGAGCCACAGGCGCTGAGCCTATCTACCAGATTCAATGTTTCTCTTTCTTGGACAAATGGACTGGATAAACTCTGTTGAATTCTAGGTCTTTGGCCTCCCTTCTCTAGACTACAAGCAGAATACTCCTTTTCTATAGAATATTTTTTTCCTTTTATATGTTAATAAAATTAGCCTATAGCTTGTGTTTTTGTTCTATCAATCATTTCACACTTATGAGACTGTATATATACTACACTATGTATGCCACATGAAATAGTGGTGGCCACAAAGATAAAATGTGGCAGTTTCTCATGTATTCTGTACTTCATATTTACCATTTCTTCTTCTGTTACTTCTCATTCATTGTACAAGACTTTTGAATTGCTAGAAGAATCTTACTGGAAATACTATGGGGAGGAACTTATTATAGCCTCTTATGTATTTAATGTTCCTGGCACATTAAAGTCCTTCTGTTCATCCTAAGTCTTGAAATCGCATTCTCAAGTTATAAATTCCTTACTCTAACATCTGCTCAATCTATTCATTCGTGATGCTGTAGTCCATGTTGACACATTATCTTAACTCCTCAATCCTTTCCCTATCTATACAGGTTAAGAAAAAAGAATAGCTCTATTTATCTTTCTTCTTTTCATTTGCATTAAAACATTATTTGGCTACTGAGTGTTTCTTCTTCTTTATGTTTTGAGTTTTATCTATATGTTTTTATCAGCCCAGTTCAGGAAGAACTTCCTTTCCTATTCCTCCCCCGCCCCCACTCTTTTTCCTTTCCTATACGTAGTTTTATTGGTAGCAATGAAAAAAGATGACTTTTGCCTGAAAAATAGTAAGTAGGTTATAATATCTTTGCTTTTTAATCATGGCTGTATTTTTTAGTTTACGGCTTGGCATTTTTCTTATTTAGACATATCTCAGATTTATAATAATTTCTATAATCATTGTTAGAATATCTTACTTGCCAAAGTTTAAAAGTACATATGGTTCATGCCTGTAATCCTAGTATTCTGGGAGGCCAAGGCAGGAGGATCCCTGGAGTTCAGGAGTTCCAGACCAGTCCGAGCAAGAACAAGACCCCATCTCTACCAAAAATAGAAAAATTAGCTGGGTGTAGTGGCACATGCCTATAGTCCTAGCAACTCAGGAAGCTGACGCAGGAGGATCATTTAAACCCAGGAGTTTGAGGTTACTGTGCCCTAGATTGATGCACTCTAGCTTGGGCAACAGAATGAGAGTGTGTCTCAGGAAAAAAAAAAGTATATGTGGGTGGCACCTGTGGTTCAGTGAGTAGGGCACCAGCCCCATATACCAAGGGTGGCAGGTTCAAACTTGGCCCTGGCCAAATTGCAACAAAAAAATAGCCAGGCATTTTGGTGGGAGCCTGTATTCCCAGCTACTGGGGAGACTGAGGCAAGAGAATCACCTAAGCCTAGGAGCTGGAGGTTGCTGTTAGCTGTGATGTCTCACAGCACTCTACCGAGGGTGATAAAGTGAGACTTTATCTTTTGTCTCTTAAAAAAAAAAAAGTATATGTGCTAGTACTTCCCTTTTCATGTTTTGGATTTTTTTTCCTCATATAGTCACGCCTTTTTTCCTGAGTTTTTTTGCTATTATATTATTTATTTTGCTTTATACACAGAGTTGATTACTTTCTGTTTGATATGTTCCAACTGACATGTTTTTTTCTTCTCACACCTGATCCAAATTTGATTTCTAATAATATAAAATGAGGAAGAAAGCAAAACTTACTGTTCTTTGGCTGATTGTAACATGAAAATAGGCTCGGCGCCCGTAGGTCATTAGTTAGGGTGCTGGCCACATGCACCCGGGCTGGTGGGTTCAAACCCAGTCCGGGCCTGTTAAACAACAATGACAGCTACAACAAAAAAATAGCTGAGTGTTGTGGCAGACACCTGTAGTCCCAGCTACTTGGGAGGCTGAAGTAAAAGGAACTCAATGAGCCCAATAATTTGAAGTTGCTGTGAGCTATGATGCACTCTATCCAGCGTGACAGAGTAGGACTCTGTCTCAATACATACATACATACATAAACATGTAAGAAAAGTAGAGACATTAAAAAAACCAGAAAAGGCTCGGCGCCTATAGCTCAACCGGCTAAGGCGTCAGCCACGTACACCTAAGGTGGCGGGTTCGAATCCCCAGCCCGGACCCGCCAAACAACAATGACGGCTGCAACCAAAAAATAGCCGGG